CCCCCCCCCGGTGTACACACTCACTGCGCACCCACTGCGGCTGCACTGAGCCGGGCGTGGTTGGTTTGTGTGCGAGGCTGTGAGCCTTTTGTCTCCGTGGCCTGGCTGGGCGCGCTGTGAAACAGTCGCAGTGTCTCCACAGGCGCTGCTCTGCCACTGCGCCACGGCACTGCAGGTACCCCGCGCATTTGACCAAAATGTAGTGTGAATTGACTGACTGACTGATCGTAATCCTCAGCCGAGGATATTTTCCCCATGGCTTTGCAGAGAGTGGGGGAAGAGAGAGGTAGAAACATTGATGTGAGAGAGACACAGCGATTGGTTGCTTCCTGCATGTGCCCCAACTGGGCCCGGGGATGGAGCCTGCCACGAGGTAAATGCCCTTGGCCAGATTCGAACCTGGGACCCGTCAGTCCACGGGCTGATGCTCTAACCTTTGAGACAAACGGGCCAGGGCTATAGTGGGAATTTTAAAACACTGCCCGAAGTCATTTGTTTTTTGAGACTCTGCCAAATTTCCCATCACCAACACAAAACTGGTTTAACTTATCAACTCTGAGTTTCCTGCATTCTTGAGACAAAAGTCTCTCTTTTCTCTTCCAACAACCCACATGGGGGCGGGGGAACAGGTAAATTTGAGAGAACATCCCGTATTAATGCTGTGATTGTGCCAATTAACCGCGACTGGGCCAAATACTTTCCTAGACAATAGTTTGAGTTTTAGCGATTTCCTTTGACAAAAATCAGTATTTCTTTGTCCCAACAATAACATAAGAAAAGGCTTCTAGGTTTGTTTTGGGGACTCAAATGCTGAGTTTGGAGTCAATTTAAAAGATCGTAAATCTCTACAATAAAGGCTTTAATGACCTGTTTCCAATCTACAGATTTTTAGATATTTACAGATTTGTAGATATTTCTAAGTCCAAACTTTTCTATCTCAGTTTCTCTTGGGACCAAGTGAAACACTGTTAATGGTGAGGCCTTGGAAAAGAATTTTCAATTTGCCAGAAAGGCCTGGAGCCAGCCAGCCTGGAGTCCAGCCATTGCCACCAACATTTATCTGTATCTGCTTTGCAGTCCCCACGGTGGGGAAAGGCCCTTCAGTCTGCTTTGGCGAGGAAAACGACATGCTCAGGTTCCCACAAATGCCAGGTGAGAAGACGTATAAACGCGCCAGAACTCATGAAACACCTAATTTAGCTGAAGCTGTAAAGGAGAAGGGCGAGTGGGGTGCCTGATAGGATTTGATGAAAATGGTAAAGACCTCTGTGGTCCCCAAACACATAAGCCAGTGTAATCTGAGGGGGAAAAAATAACTTAGATCCCACTAGAGGGATAGTCTAACAGATACAGTCATACCTCAGGGACACCATGGGTCAGCTCCAGGCCACCACAGTAAAGCAAGTGGCAATCTTCTTGCTGGTGGAGGGTCTTGCCTTCAATTCGTAAAAACCTCAACATCTGTGAGGCGCAATAAAGATATGCCTGTACCAGATCCGTACTCTTCCTCAGAGCCGCCCAGGTCACCAAAGCGAGGAAATGCTGAGAAACCGTAGTAGCCAAGAGGAGCTGGGAGACATGCCAACTAAATGAAGCATGCTATCCTGATGGATTCTGGAACAGAAAGGGACATTAGGGGAAAGCTAAGGAAATCTGAATAAAGAACGGGCTTTCGTTAATATTCAAGTATCAATGTTGGTTCATTAATCATGACCAATGTTCTGTACGAATGGAAGATTTTAACTTAGGGAACTATTACAAAGGGAGCAGAGAACAGGAGAGTTCTAGTATCTTTGCAATTTTTCTGTAAATCATCTAAAATAAAACTTGAAACATAAAAGTGAGTGTTAACATGTTTGTTGTTAAAACACCATTTCAAGTACAATGGACATGATGGCATTACTGCTGCAGGTGGGAACTATGAGCCCAGAAACACCCTTGTGCCATTTTCAGCAATTTTAAGAGCACAGAGAAAAATTCCCACGTCAAAATGTATTAGGAGTCTGGGAACTTCCTTGAATGAAGTTCACATCTCCATCATTAGTAAGGAGAAGTTTATAGAGCAACATGAAGGCAAAGTATTGTTGGGAGACCTGCCAAACTAGAGATTTCCATGCTTTAAGTCATTAGATGAAAATTCTGCTTTCAAATTTTAAACTAAGTGTCTGCTTCATATTTTACATTCAGTAAACAGTTTAAATAACATCATATTAAATAGTTTATAAATGTTTATTAAATGTCAGTAATCTTTACAAAGCAAATATTAAAAGCAAGAGGCAAAAATTTTGCAAAATATGTACAAAAGTAAAAGGCCTTAAAAATGAACTAGCAACTCATTTTAGAAAACCCAACTAACTGTTCTTTCCACTTTCAGACCAACCTCCTTTAGAAATAATTTATTGCCAATCCTGAACTAAAGCACTGACAGAAAATAATTTACAATATCAGATAACGTGCTTAGTTCCTGGAAAGTTATAAAAAGATACATGTATAAAAAAATTCTAAGCCGCAAATACTTTTATACAGAACTAATACAAAGCATGTTTGGTTAGGTACAGTATCTATGAGGTTGTTACAAAATATACTTTTAGACAAGGCTCCTTGTGGTAAATGAGCTCTCCCCATAGGTAGAGTACTATATAGAAAAGCCAGTGAAAACATTTTCTGCTTCTGCTCTAAGAGGTAAATAAAAGGGGAATGGTACAGTTTGTTGCATTGTTACATATGCTTTCCATGAATTAACCCCTACCGGCCCCTTCCTTTTTCCACCATGGTACCATCAAACAGGCATGATTGAGGACAAATGCATCACTTACTATGGCAGGAAATGTACAAGCTTTCTAAATACAAACCCAAGTCAGATACCAAGGAAGTAGCGTACTATCATGATATGCATAGTGGGTCAGCATACTTCAATACATCTGGAAACTTTTATCATCAACAGATTTGAATAGATCACAAAATCTCTTAACCCAGAAAGTACTGCCCTATCATTAATACTTTTTGGTCCATATAAATCAGATGGCATTTGAAATCAGATGGTTAGACCTGGATAAAACAAGAATGAAATATTTACTTAAATGCTAACTATACATTCAAGTACAGACATAAGAATGTTAGCAGTACAAACACTGTACTCCACTGATGTTATGAATCACTTACCCGCCTAAGGCTAACATCAACTTGGTGGTACTTGAAAAAAAAAAGCCATGAAATCCAACTTGTTTAAAATGTTCAGGTTTAGACTTATACTTCAATTTCTAGTATAAAGTTATTAAGCCCTAGCCTCGTACCATAAAATAATGGGTATGTATTATTTGGAACATGGAGACACGTACACACCCACTCACATGCAATCCCTCTCTTCTTCATGTTTACTAGACAAAAAGCCAACCTGTTATCCCATCCTTAACAATAAATCAGTGCTGTTAGTCAAGCAGCACAACACATGACCACATCGTAGGTGACTAATGAAACTTAACCTGTTGATATGATGGGAGATAAAGTGACTCAGCACTGAGTCAGATTTCCAGCTGAAAGAGACACGTGCAATATTTGTCCTGATTCCTCAAATAAAACTAAAAGAAATGAAAAGGTAACAGAGTAACTTTCTCTAGTTTTATTAGGGAGTTTCTTTTTTTAACAAATATTTCACTGAACTTTACAGGCATGATTTCATATACAGAAATAACATTGCTACAAACTGCAATGGAGAGAAATCTTATTTCAAATGGCTTGGTTTGGGGTTTTGTCTAAATGTATCATTATATAATGAAAGCACCAATTTGAGGACTTCTCAAACAGTGATTTGAGTTTCAGAACATTAACTTGGTAACTTTATTCTTCATCTAAATAAGGCATAACTGGGTATGTGTCCTAATGCTGAAAAGACATCTTATTAAAAGCATAAACACAAGTATTTGGGTATACATTGGAAGTTAAGGTTTACTCATTCCTTCTTATAAGAAATTATAGGACATAAGATTTCTGTCAAATCTAAATACTTCTGATCATTTCTGGTAGTAAGGGCATCTTCCTTCTTTCCTTCCTTCTGCTTTAAACCAAGCACTGCCATCAACTGAACAAGGATTCCCCTAAACAACCTCACTCGAGAGATTCACCAGAGGATCCTCACTTTGTAAAAAATACATGCCAATGAAACTTCAAAGAAATCAAAACAAAAACCAATGACCTTTTTTCAGTCCAAGCTGCCTTCTTGGGTTGCGGTTGCTCCCTAGCCATCAAGTGCCCTTTCCAGACAGTAAGACTGAAATGAAGATTTAAACTTAATACAATATTTGGCAGAAAGTAACGATTCAGGTTATTAAAAATAATACTGAAGTGGCAGAGGCACGCCTTGACTTATTTGGATCTTCAGAAAGCACATTTGACAAAACTGTTTTTCTATATAAAAATCAAGACCCTAATGTGTGGTGGTTTTTGATTTGTAAGGCAACTCTGTATACTATAAATTTCTTCAAGGTCAACGAAGACACTCTGTGACATTTCTTCAGAATTAAACCAGAAGGCATTCAGATTCAAGAACAGAATGTAAGAGAATTAGGCACATCTTATTCCAAATAACCATGAAATCTTAGAGTAAAGCTAAAACATGAAAGAACTTTCCATTTAAATCACTTTTTTAGAGGCTAGGGGGAAATTGGCATAGTGAAATCTATAAGCACCCTTTCAATTTTGTTCACTAAATGTCACCTCTGTCTTCATATAGTGGTATTTCAAAAGCATCTGGTTTGCATGACATAGGTGTAATGACTCCTTCATGTGGTTTAAAAATACAGTATCTAAAAAGTGTGGACTAAAGCATTCAGATTGAACTTTACAATTTTACTGAGTGTCTAAACAAGCTCACCATTAAACATAAGTAATTTACTGCCTCAAAATATATTCTAAATTTTACTATAATGTTGACTCTGAGACATCACACACATCAGGAAAGAAAATCACAAATGCCCAAGATAATGAAGTTATCTGTTTGGTGTGTCATTTCTTGGTGGTAGTCAACATGGGGAAACCGGTGATTTCTGCTTTGTCAGGCAATATTTATGGTTCACATCTGTGGATCTTAAAGTTTCCTCATCATACAGGGAACTCACTTCAGCCTTCGCTGGAGTTAATGGTTTGGCCCTCCCATTAAACTGTTTGCTAAATTTACACACAGGCTTGCCACCAAAGGGCATCCAAATGTTACTGTGCGTGTATGCAGATATTCACCAGCACTGAAATTATTCCAACTCTGAATTTAAACAAAGTATTCTTTTTGGCAAGAAGCACTAGATGTAGAATTGTTCAAACTGTGCATGTGGGCGACAGGTCTGGAGGCCATTTATCACCAAGGCATGAAAATACTGAAAGTGACTATAAATGTCATGCCAGTGGACGGAACTGCAAGTGCAAGAAAAATCAGGCACGAAGAAACCATCCCTGGTTAGATCACGGAAAAGCCCTAGTCTCATACTAGATGGCAAGGCAGATGAAGAGCCACTGTCTTGGAAGCACTGTGTGACCCATAACACTGACCCACCTTTCAAGAACTTCCAGCCAAGAAAATACCTGAGAACCTAGTCAGCTATACAGCAAAGTGATGGTATCACAGTCTTAATCACAACTTTGAGGAAAAGGAGAAAAGCTGCCAGACTTTCCAAACTCCCCAGCCTTGTCCATCTGTCTCTACTCCAATTCCAACACTGCACTTACCCTGCAAGCCAGTATTTTCAGTATTGCAAACCAGCCATTCTGAAGAACTCACTGTGAATGTATCTATCATCACAAAGCTACCACATAGGTGTGTTTTCATTTGGTAAGTGGCACAGGGAGGTCAAATGCAATCATAGTTCGGTGTGAACTAAAATAATTACCTCTTATTCTCAGGAAAGTCCTTAAAGCATTCCAAAGGTACTTCACTAAAGTTGGAATTTCATAAACAATGGTATATACAAGCACATACTGCAATTTTTTTAGTGACACACCAAGAACGAATAGGAATTTGAAGTAATACTTTCTTGAATAGTTTGACATGAAAATACTATAAGCTCCAAATGAACAAAAGAAATCCCATAAATGTCACTGAGCTGCTGGGAACAGACAGGAGAGCAAGAGAAAGACGACGTGACGGTACAAATCGGTGTCCTACGTAAGGCCCCAAAGCACCCGAGGCAGGGTCTACAGCGGGGAGTAAAACCCAACAGTCTGGAAAGGGTATGTTTATTTAGAAACTTCTGTTATCAAACTGCCTGCCATTTTTAGGTACTGCTATGGACAGAATGTTTCACATCCAGCACTTTTGTGACATATTTAAATAGGAAAAGGGTAAGTTACACTTCACTCCTAACTCTGATCTTTCACTATATATGGCACTTGCTTGCCTTCTGCTCCCTCCGTACCATTTGTGAACTTTCATTAGCATCAAACCAGAAATCCTCATGTAAACTTTAAAACAATAAAAACATTTCCTTTAGGAACCACAGAAACTGAAAACAAAGTAAATTCACTTAATTTATACTTTGTGTCTGAAAGTAAGGAAAAGTACATGAAGGCTACATCTGTGTGAATCTATAGAGTGTCATTCCTAACACCAAATGTTTTCCAACAGCCATTTCAAAAAGGTCGCCATGAAGTGAGCACGGGGGCGCTGCCAGGCGACAGACACAAGGTATCTTGCTTGTTTTAAATGGGATATTCTTAACCTCATACCTACAAATATTTAAGGGCGCCTTCTACACTTGGCACTACAGGAGAATTCAGTTTGAAAAGTGGAAGGATTTAGAGCCCGAACTATCCTCGTCTGAGGTTTGGCAGGAAGCTACAACTCCCCTCTGATGGAAGCCATCATGAAATGACCGAAGCCTGAGCCCCAGCAGGTGCTGGCCACGTCCCTCAGCCACTTTCAGCCGCAGACCCAAGTCCGCTGAAGAAGGACCAAGATGCCCAAGAATGTCAACACAGAATCAAGATTTTTCTAATTCCTGTTTGTAAACTATTTTAAAAAACAAAACAAACAGAAAACAATAAAAAAGACAGAAGGGTATTAAAACAGCGAGTCTTTTGTACGTCACTGGAGCATAAGCTGCTTGAGGTTGTCATGGAGAATAGTATCTTTCACGTCGCGGAACACCAGGCGGATGTTCTCCGTGTTAATAGCCGTGGTGAAGTGGTGGTAGAGGGGCTTCTGCTGCTGGTCCCGGCGTTTGTTACGGAAACATTCCACCAGGAATTTTTGGACGTCTCTTAAGCAGTGGGGATCCCCTTCAAATTCTAAGAAATAGTCTTTGATGCTCACAATCTGCACTTTCTCCTCGAGCAAATCTGTCTTGTTTAAGAAGAGAATTATGGAGACATTGCTGAAAACCCGGTTATTGACAATTGTTTCAAAAATGTTCAGAGATTCTGTAAGGCGATTGGTGAGTCGGTCTTCCATAAGCACCTGGTCAAATTCACTTGAGGAAACAAGGAAAAGTATTGACGTCACACTATCGAAGCATTCAAACCAACGTTTTCTTTCTGATCTCTGACCACCTACATCAACCATTTTGAAAGGAACATTTTTAATTTCAAAGTCGTACTCATGAATGCCTTTGGTGGGCCTTCTGGCAAGCAGAATATCTTGTTGTGATGGAACGTAATCCTGGAAAAGGAAAAAATCATTTTACACTCAGGAATCCAAAAGTAATTAGAATTTCTAATGTACTACTAAGTGGTCTAGTGAACGGATAGACAAACAAAATTATCTTTTTAATGACACCTCTCGATAACAAATCACTACAAATGAGCAGTACCTCCTATTTTTTTTTCCACCCCTGGTCAAATTTGAGTATTCTACTCAAACTTAGGTCTTATCTACCGACTCCTCACACCCCCGCCCCACTGCTGTGTATCCACCTTCAGGATCACTCCTCACCATGACCCACTCTTAGTGTCAGCCAAAGTGACCTCACTGCTCATGCACCCACCTGCTCCTGAGGTCTGAAATGTCAATTCATGAGGATCATTTCCCAGTTCAAGGTTCTGCCTCTCTCTCTAGCCCATTCTAAAAACCGCCTTGATGACTAAGAACTTCTACACTGGTCACTCCATGTTACCATCGCTGCTACACTACAAGCATGGAAAACACTTCCTCTACCATAATTAAGTGAATTTACTTTGGGCCACTTCCTAGGTCTGCTTCCAGGGTACAGTGTAGCTGTGTTCCAGCTATCTCATCTACTGACACAAGCAGTCACTTACTCTGTCAGCACTTTGCCTGTGAAATGGTGACCATGGCTGGTCTACCTGCCTCTAAGGGACAGTTTAGGCAAAGATCAAATGGGCCCTTCTCTGTGAACAGGATCAGTCAACTACCAGACCCTGAACAGACGGAAGCTGCTGGTCTTAGAGTCAACGGCTACCCCCTGACGCTGCACTTTGTTATGCAGTGTAACTGGTTCTTTCTCTTCTCAGGCTATCATTTAATTGTCCTCTGCTTGCTTTATGTATATTAGCTTTGTCTCTGACAGGAAGGAATTTCTTAAATACAGGGATCAAAGGACAAAACAGCTAACATCGAGCATTTATTACACACACTATTCTGAACACATTACTGGGTGCTATGGATTGAATGTGCCACTGCCCCCCTTCCCCCTCCCCCCCCATATGTTGAAGCACTGAGAGTTAATGTGATTATATTTCTGGAAGTAACTAAGGTTAAATGAGTCATATGGGCAGGGCCCTAATCAGAGAGTGTTCTCAGCCTTATGAGGAGAATGAGAAATGCTCTCTCCGTGAGTACGTGCTAAGCAAAAGCCATGTAAAGAGTGACAAGGCCACATAGTCTGCAAGCCAGGAAGAGTCCTCATCAAAAAGGCCTATGCTAGCTAGCACCTTGATCTTGGGCGTCCAGCCTCCAGAACTGTGAGAAATAAATGTTGTTTAAGCCCACCCAGTCTGTGGTATTTGTTATGGCAGCCAGAGCAGACTAAGGCATGGGTTTATTTCATGTAATTGTTCCACACCCTATGAGGTTGGGTCTCTTACTAAGCCTATGATACGGATGAAAAAACTAAGGTTTAGAAATGCCCAAGGTCACAGAGTCAGTCTGTGATAGAACTGGGATTGGAACCTAGGTGGTCTGGCTGCAGAACCCATGCGCTTGACCCATGTGCTCTTCTACCTCCCAGAGGGTCATGGGGCTGGGCACACAGTGGGGCTTCAGCAGCCCTGGTACATCAGCCAGAGATGGAGGAGCAAACGCACCCTCTGACTTGTCTAATGTTCACGGAACGGGTGGCTGAGGTGCAGCACACCCAGGTTTACCCCTCCCTCCTTTACAACTACCAACTGACTACAGCCCTTTGTCTTTTTATTCCAGATGTGGCTGCATTTGTCCTCAACATAAGACAATGAGAAACCAGTACAAAAGTCACTGAAGTTGGCCTACAGCTATTCCTTCAAAAGCCACTTGTTGATGCCCAGTGCGTGTCAGGCACCATCACTAGGCATCAAGAACTGACCTCTTGACAATCAAGATGAGGCCCCTGCCCTTATAGAAAGAGGCGGGTAAAGCGGCCATGAGCGTGAAAGTAAACAAATCAACTGTAGTAATCAGAGCACTGAGGTTTAAGAAGAGCAAGGGCTGACACTGAAAACAAGAGGCAGGGGCTTACTTCAAATGGTGTGCTCAAAGAAGGCCCATGTGGAAAGGCGAATTAAGAGGTCAGTGTCTGGATTGGAAAACATGAAGTAACTTAAAAATTAGTTTCTCTTCTAAGGCTTCTCTTAACTTTTGTTAAGGCTTATAATCTGACCAGATGAAAAAGTGACTAAGTCTTAATAAAAAGTTTCACTGATGTGGACTCAGTAAAAACATAAATATGGAGATCCCAGCTTCCAGAACACCTGTGTCTAAAAAACAGGCAGGAGAAAAACACTAGTTTTAAGGGCAGAAAAATGCAAGTTAGCCAAATACAAAATAAGGGAAAATACCAAAATTATCCTGCTAGTGCAAAAAGAGGGTACTCTTTCACGTGTCCTAGATCCATTAGTGAGTTACCTCCCTACTTGTACGGGTTTCATGTTGTGCTCTTCTTCGGTTATACTTTAACGTTTAGCACCTCAAAGAACTATGAGATCATATTAAAATTTTTAACAAATTTGCTTTAAGAGGAGGCAAACGAAACTACACTAAACTTAGCAGGTAACAAATTACTCTAGGGCAATGGCTTCCAAACATTTTCTAGGCAGCAGAAACCTTTCTTCCAATGACGTCTTCTGCACGAGTCCATTACAGAGAACAGACAAGGCAGCTGCTCTGCCCGCAGCGGGCCCAGGGAGCCAGGGCCAGCCACGGCCAGCCACCGCCAGCTGCGAGTTGCTGGCTCTGAGGGAAACAAGGCAGGAAAGTCACAAACTCTCTTTCCAAGGGCAACTCCTTCTTCCAGCATGGCGTCCCTTCATCAGGCCTTCAGAATAGCCCTCCTACACTATAGCTCAACCTACCGGGGTCCAGAGCTGGAAAATACCGTTTTCTGAAATGTTTTTAAGTCAATTAACCCACTGTGTTCTGTTTCTACTTACAAAAAACCCAGACGATAGTGAAGTAGAATATATAATGTGCAATCTCATTTTCAAACATAAACTTCTTTCTCTAAACAGTTTTACTTTCATGAAGCAGTGGATAGAGCATTCCTTAAGGGAATGGCAGAGACAGGATGGTAGAGGGAGAAAAGTAAAGCAGAACAGCCAGAACACTGCCACTAGGAAACAGAAAGAAGCAAACAGCTTGGTACATAATTTTTCTAAACTTCTTAACATCAATATCCTGACTTCTGCTTTCAAATGGCACTAAATACTCAGTTAAAAAACTTACTGGTTCTCCAAGTTTATCCAAGTTATCCAGGAAATATTTTACAGATTCACCCTAAAAGCAAGAAGAAAACAAACAGTTATTAGGGCTTAGAAATGGAAGATTTTGTTACAACAGTTTATATTAAACTGTCTGGTTGTACACTTAATCCAAACATAGTTTGCTACAGACTGAACACTAACCCCACTAAAAACATATAAAATGTCTGCCTCTGCCACAAAGTGCCACAGCCTGGTTAATTTCACAAATGCTTTACGTAAGTGATACCCCCAAGTGATCATCTACGTGGATAGGGTTACACGCATGCTTTTGATATCAACCGAAATTTAAGTGAGATTCTTTTTGTCCACATTTTTCTACCGCAAGTTTATAGCAATGGTGGTTATCTCCAGAGACAAGAGCAAATCAGAGACGAGGGGAGAACACCGTATAAAAAATCTTCCAGTAACTGGCATGTGCCTGGAGACACGCCTTGCTGTGGAAAATTTTTGAATAATGCTGCAGGTCCCGTCTCCAACAGGTCTTCTTTTCCTGAGCAACCAGCCTGCTCTCTCTGAGCTGATTTCAATTGGCCCTCCAGGCACCTCAAACATCTAAGCTGTGCGAGACAGAGTGTGTTCCTAAGAGGGAACACTTGAACAGTGGGCAGGTAAGAGGAACCCAATTCGGGAAAGAAGGCTCTAGGTCTCAAGAGTCTCCCGGCGCTCTCCCTGTTATCACCTTCCTGCTGGACTTCCACTTGGACATGGCACTTTCCCTGCCTGAAGTGGCATCCACAAGTCCTGAAGGAAGGATTCCTTAATGTATGAGAGACTCCTGGGAGGAACTTGCTATACTGTAGGTTCCGATGGGGGGGTAGTTTCTGCAGTTCAGGTGATTTCTGGAACCACACTTTCAGTTCCAAGAAATTAAAGCAGCCGTTCTCACAATTTTTGGTCTCAGGATCCCTTTTCACACCTTAAGATTCTTGAGGATCCCAAAGAGACTTTGCTCATGTGGGTTATAGCTATTGATATTTACCATATTAGAAAGTAAAACTGAGAAATTTTAATAAATATTTTATTAATTCATTTTAAAATATTAATAGTAAACTCATTACCTGTTAATGTATTTTAGTATATCTTAATAAAAGACAATGAGACACTCATCTGCTTCTGCATTTGAACTGTTACTTTAGGTTGTTTTGGTTGAAGTATATGATGAAAATCTGGCCTTATACAGAAATGTAGTTGGAAAAGAGAGAAGTATTTTAATAACTTAACAGCAAAACATTTCCTGAAGTACTAGCAAACTACTAAATAGATGTTTGTGCTCTAAAATGGCTAAGTCCAATATTTTAAAGTGGCTACATACTTTCCATGCATATTAAGTCCTTCTATTTGCAATGCTGAAATGTTTCAGAGAAAAAAAATCAAGAGATGAGAGAAAACTAGAAATCTGTTTACTCCTTAAATTAATTACAACTGTGACTTGTATTGCTGTATTATATTGCATCTACTGCCATAATAAGGTTTTTATCTACCTATAATATACCTTTAATTTTCATCAGTTTTATAATCCCCAAGCTAAGTCAGGTCAAAATGTTTTCTGAATATTTATTAAGCGGGCTTCATTAAGCATATGTTTGGAGAAATCTATTCAATAGGAAACTTATTAACTTGCCTTTAAAAGTGACCTGTAGGTTTTTTAAAGAAATCAGTAATTCACTGATAATTTAATACAGTGATACACTAGTAATTTAAGCCCTGCAAATATCTTTGTGAAGCCCCATCTAAGTAAGAATCCTTTTGCACAATATACTATGCATAGACTTTGTGTAATATAAGCTTTTCCACATAGTATCTACTTATGTCAGTTTTACAGCAAGAATCAAATGCCAAATAGAAATAAAGTACAAAATGAAAAAAGGGTGTGATGAGAGTTGGTTTAATGAATCAAGACTCTTAATTTCAATCTAAGGAAATGGCTAGTAACAAAGATAATTAAAGACTCAATTTCCCATCCCATTGTCCCTTCTCTATTGTATCTTCACATATTCACATGGAAATATGAAATACAACATGATATTGCTCTGCTCACACTATTTGAAATCTAAGATAACATTATACTCAATTCCTTAAAGATAGTAAACATAAAACCAGGCCTGATTAAAGAGTTGGTTCATAGCTTTGAAAAGGACTCTAAAGTGAAAAGATCTTGGAGTCATCCTATTTCAAATATTTGAAATATATCACCTCTATAATGGGTTCCATGTCTTTCTTCTCCCTTTCATTTTAATTTTAAAATAAAACATAATAAAGAGGCTAGCAGGGTAGGTAGCCAACTCCTGGTTCTCAGAGCCTGTCATGGTGCAATGTCGCCTCTCCTTTCATTTACTGCCCTCCCAACACTCTCATTTTGCCTGGTCTTCACAAAGGGCCTATTTTATTGTTCCTTATCTTTGAGATGGCCTACTTTTTGTTTAATGACGTTCTCAATTCATTTTTATTTGGAAAAAGCTTGTCGAGTATTGATGTGACGCACAGTACATGTTTTTAATAAGGGTGACATTGTCATCTTTATCATCAAAGCATACTTAAAGTACTACCACTCACGCCTTTTGTTTGGTTCACAAGGAGTGAGACAGTGTTTACTTATAGTCAAAGAAATATAAGCTATTGCTCCTTGCTCTGTAGATAGTTCAAAATTATGTAGACTCCAACTGAATATAGAATTTCAAATTTCTTGCTAGCATTTTTAAGTGCATCACTTAAAACTTCCAGAAGAGCCAAAATTAGTTACAACATAAACCACCATAATACTTGAATTTTTTGTCAAATTAAATACCTAACCAGATTAATCTAAGATAATTTACAATAGCCTAAATAGAATGTCCAAAATACCTGTCTAATTTAGACAATTAATTTTAATTCTTTCTTGCATATAAGCTATAAAAATAAACTAGTACCCAAAATTAGAAATGAGATTTTTGAAAAGAACTAAGTTATCACTTTATTTTATAAACTGCCCTTTCCTTGCCACTGCTCACTAATGAATAAATTCCTTTTTACATCAAGTTTTTCAATTAGACTTAACCAAATAATTTACAACTAGATCTTAGTTTTTTAAGAGTATTCCTGTTGTCCCACCAAATTCCAATTTACACATAACACAAAATGTACAATGCAATTTAGTAATTCTCCTACTATAGAAGTCATAAAAAAGAACCTTATTTTATTAAAATGCTTCACCATAAAGATATGAGAAAAAAACTTTGCCATATGTCTAATAAGCATTTTTGGATACATGTGTATCTTATCTTTATGCATGTATACATAATACTTATAAGCTATTCAATTTTGTTAAGAAAGTATCCAATACTCTCAAAAGTCTATATAAGAATTACAGTCACTTTTAAAAAGAATACAGGTTTCTGAGGCCAGCATTTCTTTTAAAAATCTTCCCTTAAAAATGAAATACAGACCCTGTCCGGGTAGAAAAGTTGGTTAGAGCGACATCTGGATACGCCAGGGTTGCAGGTTTGATGTCTGCTCAGGGGACATACAAAAGCAGCAACCAATGAATGCATCAATAAGTGGAACAACAAATCAATGCTTCTCTCTCTCTAAAACTCAACAACAAAAGAAATGAAATTTTAAATGTAAGAAGGGATTTTAATATTACAGAGATGGGCTAGCCCTAACATGATATATAACACTGCTTAACAGGTAACAACATAGTAAGCTTACACCATACTTATAGCATGTTACCATTTAGTACCACCAGTTTCTGTTCATTAAAATATATATATATATATATATATACAAGAAAGAATTTTCCATATAAGTAAAAAAAATCACGTCCAGTTTCTAAGAATGCCTTATTAGTTCTCTGAGAAAATCACCTCCTGCAGGAAATGCTAATGTTGCAATACTAAGTGAACAGAATATAAAACTGTACAGAAAGTACAGAAAAGTTTATCTCAACACCAATGTTGTATGGAACGGCCAGAAGGAAATACACCAAATATCAACCAAGATGCCTTGGGGTGGTGGTATACGTGGCTAACTGATGATTTTCTACAATGAACATACATGTTTTAAATTTTAAACTAAAAAAAAAAAGAACCAAACTAATTTGGATTCTGGAGTGGAATTTGTAATTCCCTTAGAAAATAATTTTCCTACTTTTCAGTTTTCACATACAATAAAAAGCTTAGTTTTTGCCCAGCCAGCGTGGCTCAGCAGTTGAGCATTGACCTATGATCCAGGAGATCGTGGTTTGACTCTCGGTCAGCGTACATGCCCAGGTTGGTGTCTCAATCCCCAATGGGGGTATGCAGGAGGGGGCCGATCAATGACTCTCTCATCATTGATGTTTCTCTCCCCCTCTCCCTTCCTCTCTCTGAAATCAATACATATTGAAAAAATTTAGTTCTGAGAGATTCCTCAAAGCTAAAATACTTTTTTGAAAAGGGTCAATCATATACAATCCTAACAAAGAAACATTTAGATGTACCAGAACTAGAAACTTTCAGCAGTAAATTTTTTAAAATTTTCATAAAGAAATGACAATTGTTAAAAAAAAAAAATTTTTTTTTAAATTGTTTTCCAACACAGGTCACACTCCCCAAATATAGTTTCAATTCCCCTGATAACTAAATAGAGGGGTCTGCAAGAGGAATTCACAATACCCAGGAGTCCTTGTGAATGTACACCAAATGGAAAGTCCTGCTCTATGATGTGCTACAAGGAATCTTGAAATCCCCACAACTCAAACATTACACAACAACCAACATTAAGTAACATTACCAATCAATGTTAATAAAGTAATTCTATGCCTAATATCACACGGCAGAGAGGAAAAGCTTTAATTACCTTCCCTTCCCCATCCACCCATCAATCATGTCAGACAGCAAAGCAATGCAACCTATGAATGTTCCCAAATACTGATGAAGGTGGGAAATAGCTCAAAATTTACTTGGTTTATCAGTTCCCTTTCCAAGCCACTATTTGGTTAATCATGCTATTAAGGGGCACAGGAAAGCACGGTTGGTAGTGAATGTCAGACATGGG